ATTAAAAAAAATAATTAAAAGTAAGTATAATTCATGAATAAAAAAAAGTAGGTGTGATAGAAAAGTCGTGCATGGGGAAAGCAAACGGTTCCGGTTAGTTATGGGGTGATGGGAGACCTGAGGTGATTTTGTAGAGCCAATAGGGTTCGAATCATGAGTAAGATGATTCCTACGGCCAGCCACACAGTGACAAGGGTAAAGGCACTAAACTAGATGTTGAGGGCAGAGGCATAAGACAACTAGCACCACAGTTCCCTGACCTACGCATTCTTTGTTCACGATTGTCCATGGGCTGTGGCCAAAGTATCTCCACAGGGTGGGAAGGATACGTGGTAAGGGAGAGGTGAAGGGGTTGTTAGGGGATCAGAAGAGCTCACCATGTGGGTGTTGAAGTTATGGAGATGGTAGGGTACAGGACGGAGAGAAGCCTGGGCCGGGAGGCTTCCTTTAAGAAGAGGTGGAAGGTGCATTCGGTGACAAGGCTGAAGATTTATAAGAGTTAATTGTCAGCATGCCCGGGGGAAGGTTATGGCAGGGAGAGTTAAATGCTAGCAGAGACGTGAGTTGGAGGGTTGTAGAGAGCATAAAGAAGGAAGGAAATCAATCAGTGTGTGAGAAAGAGATTAAACCAGCAACTTGTCTTTTGTCTCTCTTCAATAAAAATTTATTGAGGACTTACGTGTTCATGGGCCACGCTTACTCTTGGGATACAGGACTTGTAAGGCAGGAAAGAAGCCATAGGATATGTACTCGGAAAGACAAATAGTGCATGTCTCTGTGACCTTAACACAAGATGCTAAACCTGTAAAGATCAACCCTTTCAGGCTTCCCAGAAATGACTTTTATATAGCAGATCATGATGTATACAGTAAGTCCTTGTGTAACATCATCAGTAGGTTCTTGGAACCTGCAACTTTAGGCAAAACAACATATAACAAAAACAATTTTACTACAATCTTGATTGATAAAAACAAGAGTTAGGTTCCTGTGACATATTTCTGGTCACAAAAACATCACCAAACTTCTAAATAAAGATCCCAAACACTTCTAATGTTAAACATTGAAATAAATATGAACTCTACATACTTTTAAGAGAGATGAATAAAAATAGCTCAGATCATTATTTTCTATCCTACTGATTCTAGTTCCTGGTCTCAGGTGGCCAGAGCCTGTCCTGGCAGGTCCAGATGCAAGGTGGGACCCATCTTGGACTGGATGCCCTTCCATCTCGGGGCCACTCATACACACCCACACCCAGATTGGGACCTTGAGACATGCCAGTGAATCTGATGTGCACATCTGTGGGATGTGGGAGGAAACCAGAGTCTCTGGAGAAAACGCAGACACGGGAGAGTGTGCAAGCTCCACACAGACAGTGGCCCTAGCTGGGAATCGTTGTGTTTTCCTCATCAACATTATAACAGAATGACCTTAAATGAAATGATGTTATTCAGTGACCCACTGTTTTGACACTGACCAGTGTGGCTCAGTGGTTGGAACATCATCCCCATAACTGAAAAGTTGAGGGTTTGATTCCTGGTCAGGAAACATACCTAGGTTGTGGGTGCATCCCAGGTCTGCGTGCATACGAAAGCAACCAATCGATGCTTCTGTTGCATCTGTCTCCCTTCCTCTCTCTCTCTCTCTCTCTCTTTCGTTCTCTCTCTCTCTCTAAAAAAGCAAATGAAAATGTCCTTGGGTGAGGATTAAAAAAAAACTCTTATTTTTTTATTATTCAGCATTGTGCATTAATTATATGTGGTACCAGCAAGTGCAGCAATTTACTATGTGTTAAAATAATATTCATTAACATGGGAAATGTTCATGATGTGATTTTAAAGTAAAAGATCTTTTAAAATTATATATACAGTATGATCCAAGTTTTATGAATGTGTGTGTGTGTTTGAGAGAGATGGAGGGAGAGACAGAATGTCAGTTGTCAAAATATTAGTCGTTATCTCTGGTCCATGAGATTAGAAGAATGTTTATTTTCTTCATCTTCCAAGTTTTCTAAAATGCATATGTATTATATAAACAACTTATCATCAGACAATGCTATTTAAAATATTTTCCCTAGTCATTCATGTAACTTTTAAAATTTATACAGCACTTATAGTTAAAAAATTAAATCCCGATAGGCTTTCTTCTACCACAGAGTAACTTTTTAGCTGTTCTTCCTTTTCTCCTCACTGTTTATTCCTATGAATTTCTTTCTGACCTCATTTCTATCTCTGCTACTGAAGAAGATGGCTCGCGCATGTCAGTTCACTTATGATTAACACCCTCCCCCACATCGCAGCTAAACCCTTTTATCTCTGTATTCTCTCTATCTGTGCCACTGTACACAGTGTTGAGGTTTGCTGATTGTCTCTTTGCTGTTTATATCCCTATGGTTGCCATTTTCCATTCCAGTGCCCTTTCAATTCCATTATATTTGTGATTATCGATCTTATTCTTCTTTTCTGGTGAAATGTTTATTCTAACACACATCTGCAAGCCATTCATAGCACTGCTTGGATAGTTATTCATCTCATTGAATGTGAGTATTTAAGAATATATTTCTTTTGTATTGGTAGGTTTCTCTTTGTAGTTTCTTTGAAAGAAAGTGCAACACTTGGATGCAAAAATGTCATCCAAAAAAGTCATGTATGTAGGTCAAAGCTATACTCTGCTGAAGCCAACATCTGTCTCTAGAGGTTAACTCAAGGGGCATTTTGTGGATGAGTGTGATTGTTATCTTCTAAGGTAATTCAGAAGGTAGAACTGAATGTCAAACATGCCTAGTTTTCCTTTTTAAACCATTTGGAGGTAACAGTTAATAAATTGTATAACCCTTTTCTGAAATTAGTTTATTCTGCCTCTGCACATTCTCAGAGTTAATGAAGTCCATATGTGGATAAAACAAAATTTATTTATTTTTATTGTTTCTATCATTATTTCCTTGAATTCCAAGTTCCAGGATTTGATGGGGAGCCATATATTGGTTTACTCTGTCCCTTTGACTCCAATTTTATAGGCTTGGATTCCCCCCCTTTCACTCTCCTCCTTCAGGACAGAATGATTGTTTTTTGACTCACACCTTGGAGGGTCCCTCCCTGTGCTTTGCTGAGAGCCTGGGCAAAGGCCTGCATTTACTTCAGGCATGCGCTGGCGAGAACACCACCCCATTCTCTGCTTTAGTTTCTGTATCCCTTCTTCTGGTATCATTGAGCCTTTGGCTGCAGTTTCATTCTGGATCCTTGTCCTCAGCTGTAAGACACAACGGTGTCAGGACATAATCCCCAGACATGCTGGGCCACATCCTCAGGGGGTGAGGGCGGGAGGTGATTAGTTGTAGAGATGATCCAAAATAGTTGCCAATACTGAAGTCACCATTTGGTAATGATTTTGCAGTATATCCTGTTGTGTGTGTATATTTGCAATTTACATGTACGTGTAGGATGATTTAATTGAGACAATTCTAGTGAATGAAAGTTGCTTTGCTTTGCTTAAGCATGTAAGATCTGATGAATGGAAAGAGATAATGAAAATATTTTGTTGGAGGATAGGAAAATCCAGTGTGGGATTAAATGATTGCTGTAGATCATCTTCAAAATGAATCAATCCATGTGCATTAATTTAATGTGTATAATCAGCTGTGATGGTAGCTCTACTATCCCTAGTTTTTAAAAAAGAGAGTGGAGGAGCCTTCATTCAATCAAGTTACCAAAAAAAGTAATTAAAAAGGGAAATTTTTTTAATGAGAAACAAAAAGGAGTTTGGCTTTGTCTTCCTGCTTCCCTCCCCTCTCCCTCCTTTCCTTACCTGGCTGAGTCTTCCAAGCCCCCACAGGGTCTGGCTGCAGGCCTTACCTGTTACAGCACTTTGCTGTTTATCTCTCTGTTTACTCAGGGGTCTGCAGGAGACGTCAGGGAACGCTCTACATCTCGGTGCATGTTTTAAGAGTGTCACATCGTGTCTTACTTATAACTGGTCCTCAACAAATGCAAAAATAGATTTTACATTTAATTAAGAATGATTTCATTTTTTAACAACATGAAGTGTTTTTATGTGAAATGTGTTCAATAATTGTGCCCTGGGAATAAGCTTTCCTTAGAGAAGTAGAGGAGGTTTTAAGACAAAAGATAAAAACATATTTTCTAGACTGCAGGGGTAACAAGTGGTGGAATAGATTCCTGAGAAGGTGAAATCTCCATCCTGGGAGATCCTTAAAAACTGGACAGAGAAAACATCTGCGAGAGTGGCTGAAGCATTCAACCTGCCTTGGAGCGAGTAGGCAGACATAATGACACAGGGTTTTGTGAGCTTTTGATTCCTTGGTCTGAAGAAAAGAAGAGTGAGGGGTAAGACATTAAAACTACTTCAAGTATGGAAAATAGGTATTGTTGCTCCCAAAGGAAAACAAGTCAAAGGAGCTTATAGATTTAGGTTACATTTATAGTTAGGGATTTTATGACATAGATTGTGAAAATCCTGTGGAAATCTTCAAAATAAAAGATCAATTTGTGTGTGATGTGGAGTCATCTCTGTGATTCTGTTGTGGTAAAAATATTTTTTATATTACTCTGAACTGAGAGAATTATTCCAATACGTTGTATTCAGTATATAGAATCCTCTTGGGAAAGTAAAACTTATAAAAGTAGTATTTTAAAGCATGAAGCATCATCACTGTTTTATGGGTAAGAGCGGGAGAACAGAAGGTAATAAGTGTGCTAAATAGCTTTGCAGTGTTGGGTTATTAAATCAGAGCCAACATTTGAGGAGTGTGGGACAGGCCTCTTCTCTGATGGGTCAGCCTTGCTTTGGCCATTAAACCTTTCCCCAGTGAATATGCAGAAGAATTCCAAGGAGAGAGCTACAAAAACCCTATCAATACAAAGGGCACCCATATACCTATTAAAAAACAATCTTCATCAGGTATTTGATTGTAATTTCTACATTCAGCCACACGATGTCACAATTGGATTTTGATTTCACTGTGTATTTGTCTCCACTAACAGATGAAGGCATTTTCAAAGCTGGAGCAGAGAGATCTGAAACACGGGGGGCAGCAGAAGTCCAAGAAGATGAAGATACTCAAGTTGAGATTCCAGTGGATCAGGTAGTCACCATGCCTTTAAAAATACGTATACCAATTACTAATATTTTTATTTCAAGTTTTACGTTATCTGTTCCATGCTCTTTCTGTGCCTATGTTAGTTAAACCCTCTCAGGTGCAGTGTGGCTGAAAACCTTAAAAACAAAACAAAACAAAACAAAACAAAACACCTTCAGTTCTTCCTAGTACTCCCGCAAAAAATAGTCATTTGGATGGAGTATTTTTAAATTATTATTATGGACAATGGTATATATTTAATAAATAACATTGAAGAATTTGGTGGATTGGAGTTAAGTATGAGATATAAAGAGGGAGAAAGTTTGATACAGAAAAAAGAATATTGGCCTGGGGCTTTATCTACAAGAAAAGCCCTTCATTTAGAGAAGCTGGGTTTTGTTGTGTAGTTTTGTTCTTAAAATGCCATAGTATTTTATCCTTTAGCGCCCTTTAAATTGTTGTGGTTGGAATTTTGTCATAAAGTAATTGCTTATATAAATGCAACTCAAATATTTGCTATGTGTGTATTGATTTTATTTCTTTGGCCAGTGGAACACTGTACGGTGCGTGTGTTTATACACATGTGCTTATAGAAATGATTAAGTAATATTAATTTTGGCTAAATGATGCCAGAAATAAACCAGTTAGACTTTTTCATACAATTCAACCAGGTTTCTCACAATCTTGAGTGGAGGATGGGAATTTAGGTGAAGAGCGAAAATCATAATCCTAGGTTCAAGGGAGTGAGAAGTCACTAGGAATTGCCACTTGTCCTCTAATTACTATGTGATATTTCCTTTTCAAAATGCAAATTTCACGATCCAGCAAATTCCACAGATGATCTTCTCAATTGTGTTTGTCTTGACAGTATATCAGTGCAGTTGCTGCTTGATTATTCCACAGGCGTTTTCTGTAAGCATCGCTGTCCCAAGGAAAAGCCTAATGTGTTAACAATCATAGATTTCAAAAATCCAATTCATTATTCAGGATTAGCTACAACTAATAATTTTTCATAAACTCCAGTTATGAGTATTTTTTTTCCTGAGGTTAAATGAAATTTTAAGTCCCCTGTGGAACTGTAATTAAATATTATAAGACAAAGAAGAGATATGTATACCACACCTAATAGCTGCTGAAACCAAGACTAATTAATATTCTAAAGACAAAAAGCCAAATATCAAGAAAAAAATTGTAGCATTATAACCAAAAGAGAAATCTCTTTGTTAATCATTTAACGAGATGAAGTCTGTGGTAGGTTTTTTTCTTTTTTTTTTTTTACTTGCAAGTTTGATGATCACAAGGTAGGGAGGCTGGCAGGGGGCATTGATCACTGACAATGGCTGAGCAGCCTTGAATAAGTGTCCTCAGAACTTGATTTCTCATTTGACTGCAGAGTGCTAACTTATAATACAAGTATGCCAGAGAGGCTGATTAGACAGATTGGTAAAAGCTGAGCAATACCAATTAATTGATGTCAGTTTGAAGGAAATAAAACCAGGTAACAAAAGGCCAGAATTGTTTTCTTCTTTGGCCCAGTGCATAATAGAGTTGGGATTGTCCAGCTCATGTGGACCACATGAGCTGCTTACCAGATCAGGGCTTAGAGTCCTTCTCTCTATGGTGACTTTAGCTCTATATCCTAAGTGGCTATGTTATAAATATTGTCAAAAACCAAGTGAGAGTGTGGGGAAATTATGGTCCATTTTAGTCACAACAGCACTGAGGATGGGATCTCAATGGTGATCTTCATGGAACAATAGCTACTTTTCCTTAAGGACCTACTGAGTGCCAGGCACTGTAGTAGGCACTTTTATCTCAGATAATTGTGATGACAACCCCGTGAGATAGGTTTTATTATTCCCATTTTATGTAGAGGAAGAAAGTGAGCTTACATAGGTGGAATTACTTGTCCAAAACTGTACTGTGAAATAAAAGGACTGGGATTTGAATGCAGGTCTATTCAACTCCAAAGCACTTGAGTGACATGGAGGGAGAGTATTATATGAGAAAAACAAACAAATCAAAAAAACAATCATTAACCCAGGGATCAAAATTTTTGTGTAAGAAAGGAAATGTAGTCATCTTACACAACTTGGCTCAGATATAAGCGATACACTTCCTTTCGGGTTATTCCTAGTTAACTTCTTTGAGTTGGTTTCCTCTCATCTAAATGGTTCATGTCGTAACTTCAGTGAAGAAGGGTATGTGTGTGTTGGTGTGTGTATAAATGTCATGTGCAAATTGGCCAAGTAATTTATCCATGCCTGAAAAGCAGATTAAGTTTTAGAAGTAAATATCAAGACCTCTGTTGGGAAACGTTCTCTGTAGAGCTCGTGTGTTTCTCTCTACCTTGTGAGCAGAGGCACTAATTGCCTTCTTTCTGGACTATCTTTTTAGTATAGTGAACAGGCTTGAAAAACAGGGATAGTGACTTCTCAGGAGGACTCATTCTCAGCTGGAGGAGATTTTGGCAAATTCTGGGGACATTTTTGATCGTTGTAGCTGAGGTAATCTAGTGGGTAAGCAGCCAGAGTAGCTGCCAAAATATCCTGGTACGTGACAGCCCTCTCACACACAAAATCATCCAGTCTCAACTGTCAGTAGTGCTGAGATTGAGAAATCTTGCTGTCAAGCAAAGGTGAGGTTTGTTTATTGTCTACTATAATGAAGTAAATGTCTCCATAAGGCACAAAAGTTGGGCAGGTTTACTATCCATTAGAGAAGATTTGGGCCATTGAATTGTATACTCCAAACTAGTTAAAACGGCAAATTTTATGTTATGTATATTTTACTACAATAAAAGTATTTGGAAATGAAAGATTTGGGTTCTCTAAGCTTGGGGTTTCCCCTGAAATGCAGGCCACTGTGCCTATCACCTAGCGCCCTTCACATTGCCCTGGGGAATGGGGCCTTCGGGACTGAGTGTAAGTGGTGGCACTCGAGCTACTGACGCTGCTGTGAGCAGTGCAGTCCTGTCTCTGACCCATGAGTCTTATGTCTTCTGCCAGCACCCATGAAACAGTGGCACGCCAGTGCGTCAGCTGGCAAATAGGGTAAAATTTCAGACTTTTCAGTTCTCGATAGCCTCTACTGGCATCAACTAGCACGTGTGTTTGTGTGTGTGAGTGTGTGTAACTGGGTATTGTGGAGAAATTCCAGCCAAGGAAGAGTAGGAAGTCTGTCCCAAGGTTGAGACTCTTTTCATTTTTTAGTAACAAGTTAATGGTACTTCCAAACTCATGGAAACTGAAAAATGTCACGTTCTTTGACATATTCAGAAAGGTCAAAACAAATGGCTTTTCTTAGGGAAGAGTTTAGTTCCAATAAGAATTTGATACTCTTATTAGAGTGCCATGCACATTCCAAATCAATCTGGTTGTTCAAAAGCAGTGGAACAGGTGCCCGATTCACTAATACCTGTGGCTGTGCCCTGGCACTGAGGACTCATGTGATGTTATACTCCATTTATAAAATGATACTTTTCCAAGTTAAGGAGGCAAGAAATGAGCCTGTTCCATTATATTTTCATAGGCTGCCCCTAATAAGTGAGGATTAGGAAGGGGAATTCACCGTTTCAGAAACACGAGCAAATAAATACATATGAAATAGGCAAATAAGCACTTATGTTGTAGATTTTGTTCCATTTGACAGAAGAGAGCACAAGATCCCCATCAGTTTGTAGTTGATTTTGAGTAGTAAAATAATGAGAATTGAAATGTGTTTTTATGTTAAACAGTTTCATTAAATAGCATTAAAGTCAGTGGCGTGAGCACTGGAGCAGAGCCATGAAAGCTTTTTTGTTTTTTTTTAATCATAGGTTGTGATGTATATTATTTTATTATTTATTTAAAACTTCTTAATACAAATTACGCCATAATATTTTTAAAAGTCAACCAGTTCAACAAAGATGACAACAACAATGGCGACCTCCTGCTCCATTTCTCCCCATCTGGATGCCTTCCCCACAGCGATAACCTATTTGAGCAATAAAGATCCTTTTAATTGGTGACATGTCAAATTTGATAAAATACATTTCCTGATTCAGATTTGGATATTATTTACTAACTTTATCTCTAATGACTATGGAAGATGATTATTTAGATCTCTTACCAACTCCTTCACACCCCTCCTCCCCAAATAAGGCCACATATGTACAAAACTTCACACACATGCCTTTCCCCTTCTTTCTTCCTTTATAATTCATAATAACTTTTGGCTAAGTTGATATTTAACCTTTACATTATTTTTGCTATGTAAGTAAAATATTATTCTTAGCAGAGCCATATAGTGTACTCTGCGTACATTTCCCTTCTTGTTTAACCCTTTATGCTTCCTCCCTATTTTAGTAACTGTTTGTTTGTTTTTCATTAGCTTAGTTTTGTGTGTGTGTGTGTTGTTATTACCAAGCCATCTCCAAACTCTGCCAGAACTGTTGATTCCCTCTTGGTTTACCCAAACATACACAGTGATAATGAAATCTCAGTTTCATCTTTTAAGACCATCAATCCTCTGCCTCAAGCTAGTTAGTTGTTTTGTAGATCTGCTTGTCAGGGTTATCCTGGTATCTTTCTTCACCATTCTTTCAGGAATTTCCTTTGTTTCCCACTATTTCTTGGATTCTACATCTTGGTTATACCTTCATGGAAAACACATTTTTTTTTTTTAAACTTTGCACGTCTGAAAATGTTTTTTTCCCCCTATGCAAACTTAACTATAAGTATGACAATGTATACAATCCTAGGTTAGATATCATTTCTTTCAGAATTTTGAAAGCGTTACTCAGTTGTCCTTCTCACCTACAATGGCAGCTGGGAATTTTTGTGCCAGTCTGTTTCCTGAGTCTTCAAAAAAATAACTCTTTTTCACTCTCTGGAAGCTTTTACGTTCTGTCTTTGATGTTCTGAAAATGTCCAGTCCAGTGCCTCGGTGCAGGTTTTTTTTGTTTTAGGATTGGACATTTAATGAACTTTTTATTCTTGAAAAAAATTGAATTATTTCTTTGATAA